GATATTGAGCACGCGGGAAGTTTGGAGAGCACAAAAGAGACGTAAGAGTGGGCCTCGAGCAATTCTAGCCTCTTGAGTGTTCTCCAAACTTCCCAAGTACTCAATATGTCGACATACCACAGCTGAAGCATGAACTAATTTTTTTAATCATTATCAAATTAGCTATCGATTATAACGTGCGCTTAATAAAGCAGTACGCGTCAATGTCTACGTGACTATATTTTTTTACCTCACAGTTATGTTTTTGCAGTGATGGGAAAAAGAGGAATGAGTTTGCGGAATGGCATGTGGCATGGCTTGCGGATTGAGCTAATTATGTGGAATGTAATATATGCAGAATGACTTAAAGAAATAAATTAAACTGAAAAGCGTAGTATGTAATCATGGTTACGTTGGCGTAATGATCGATCTGTACGTTTACTTAGTAGAACATCCTTTTAAACACTGAGTATCCCGGCTAATTTTTCCCCATAGTTGTTGATCCCTATCTCCAGTCACATCACTGATGGATATGCACTTGTAGGGATAGCCATATTTCCATGCTCGCTTGCAGAATTTATCGATCTTAGAGAGGTATTTACCCTCATAAGCGAAATACGTTTAATGAAAGAGCAACGCTATAGATATCAGGCCGAGTTGGCTTTCCATTTTGGTTTGTCAGTGCACGTTTGATTTAGTTAATTTGATAACCTGAGTTTATGCGCTATTTTCGTTTCGCTGAGGAAATGAATTAAATTGCGGGGCGAGAGGCAAATACGAACAGTGTATCTAGATGGAAATAATGTCCTACCTAGTCTAGGAGCGCGCCCGGGGGGGGATACTGCCTGGGCTATATAGGTATGTGCCGCTGTGAAGGGTATGGTTTTCAAGCAGTTTACTCTAGGATAGGGTATATATATCAGAGCGTTTGGGCCTAGAATAGGGTATTATTTTTCAGGAAACTGATGAGTTGGTTGAAGATTTTATCTAGACTAGGGATTGTGGTATAAAGTTTTGTTCTGGCTAGACTGTGCTATTGACCTCTGTAGAGTCTGGAAAACAGCTACTCTAGGATAGGGGGGATTTCGGAAGTTTTCTCTAGTATAGGATAGCAAAATTCAGCTGAACTAGCTCTGGTATAGGTTAAGGGTTCCAGGGTCCCAGTGGCACATCCCCACCCAGATATTCCTAAAGTACCCCCCCGGGGAAGCGCGGCTTGCTTCGCTTGCCATGGATTGAGAGTTTTTTCGCAGGTTATGCTTCACGTCGGCGTCTGCTACCCACTTTCAAGACGCGTGAAATAAAATCGCCATTTACTCGAAACCTATACCACAAATTGACCTTAAAAATTATTAGGCAAAAATTAAAAATTATCAGGAGATCTTGATCTACCAAAATCTGGTATCAGACCTTTCTGAGCTGTGGGTTGAACGAAACGACAATTTTTCGACCTCGGCTACTGGACTAAAAGAACCTCGATAAAACCAACGATTGGAATCTTGGATCCAAGTTCCACTGACGAGAAGTCGGAATTCATTACCTAGAATGTGGAATCCACGGCGTGGAATCCAGAAAACAAGACTATCTTGGATTCTCGCTTAAATGGGTGGTTAATAGTTAATAATTTCAATTGACTCCTAACAGATCACAACACTATTTAAAGAATGTTAAAAATCATTCTAGAACTTTGGGACTCCAATTATCGCATGACATTTTTGGGTTAATAGTTTCCTTTGCACAAAGGTTTGATGCATATTCAATTAATTGAACGGAGGATGGGTTTGCGCGGAAGGGTATTTGAGAACAACCGATTAATCTGTTTCTAAAAGCTGGAGATTCTTCATGGAAAGTCGGCTTAGTGCTTATTACTGATGCTATTATCTACGGCTTTATAGTTTAAATGTTTTACCGACTGTTAAGACCATAAAAAAATAAGGTTATATCTTTTTCCTCTAGTTAGGCAAGGGTTAACTTGTTTAAGCAAGCGTATGTTCCCATTTACCCTCTTCATCAGGTTCATAGGTTCGTGCAGTCAGTTAACAAAATGAAGTTAATTACGTGCTGTGATCTGCAGACATCAGTCTCCTTTCCGGGGAAAAACACCTTGATCAATTTGTTGAAAATAGCCATCCTTTGTTCAAACGAACAAAGCTGATTCAGGTTGTGAGTTGCAGTCATCCATTTCGTTCTTTTAAAGTCTGCCGACTCCTTTCAATTTGTTTCGAAAAGCTTTCATTTGACGAAGTTATAACTTCCGCCGTGCCCTGCAGCATTATCAAATTGTGCTTTAAAAATGAGACAATCTCCCGTGATTTTAATCTCCGACTAAGGCTGCTTGCTGCAACTACGCTTGTCAGATTCTCCTGACTAACTCAGTGATTCTCTGCAATACGTAAGTACTAAAGTAGACGTCCGACAAAAAATAGGTTTTGGAATTAATACATATAGATCTTGATATACGATCTTAACAAACATTATCGTTACTTTAAGTATGAATTCCTTTTTTTGTAGATTAGCCCCTGCAATTCTCACTTCGCATCTTTGTAACTACGACTTTTGAAATGTCTGAAATTTATACAGATTTTGTCATTCGGCTCTGCCCACTGAAATTATGTTTGACTTTAGGATCATCTCTGAGCACTGAGAGCTAGCCTCCTTTCTCCTCGATCCTAGTCGAGGAGAAGAAAAAGGGGTTCTTCCTGAATATATCGTGTCAAGCCTTTGAGATCGCCGCAGCCCTAACTTCTGGACAAGACACTCTTGTTTTTTCTCTTCAAACTGGTTTTTCGAGTGGGAGCTGCGTTTATTGCGATAAACGGAACGGTTCGCAATTGAACTTGCTGTACCAAGCTCAAGCCTTTGGGCGAAGGCTCGAAACGATATTCTAGCTACATGCAGAGCCTAGCGCAATTGACATTGCTCAACAAAGATCTTGCTCGATTATAAATGCGAATCTTTCTCGCGTACGCCAACAAAATCGAGCAAGTGAAAGAAATTCTCTGTTTGCAGGTTGGCTGAGTAATTGTTTTCGCTTGAAAAAGCAGACAGAACTGAATGCAAAAAATTCTCACTGACTGAGAACACACTAAGCGTTTACGGAACTTCTCAGTGATTTACGGCTAGTTTCTTAGAGCCATGCTTTTTCCATTATTTTCGTTTTAAATGCTCAGTGAAACAAGATTACAGTGAGCTGTATGGAATTGTATACTGAGAAATTTAAAAGTCTAGCCGTCTTTAAACGATGATCCACTTGCAAATAGTTTTGTAACGTTGGCTACTTTATTAACGATTTTATTATCATCACGGTCAGAAATACCTTTTCTCATTAACACAATGAACAAAATTTCATGGAATTAAATGCTATAAATATGTCGCAAATGCACCTCAAAACGCTGGAAATTTTGATTTCCGGGAGCCGGGAGTCTTTCCCAAACCTCCTAATTTTTCTCGCCATCAGCGGTCGTTACTCCCAACCCCCACCTACACCCCTTCCCCACCCCACCAATTCCAAATTTTGCTTTGCGGTCCCTGAAATAACAAAATCACTGCTTCCTGTCAAACGAATTTGAAGTCTTCAAAGCGTTTTACAAACAATAGAAATAAACTTTGACAAAGCTCTGAAAGGTTGGGTGAGTTGTAATTACTTATTAATAAGTTCTCTTCGATCCGTGAAGTCAAATTAGCAAAAACTAATTGCTTGGTCTGATTTGCAGTGATCAATGTCCTTTTCGTAACGAAATAAACTTGACCGACTTGTTCCGAAAACAGACTGATTCTTTATTTAGTTCTAAATGGACAAAACTGGTTCAGATTGTGACTTGCAGTCATCCGTTTTCTTTGTTTTCTGAAGATAGCCTTTTTACGCTGACTTTTTTCACCCTGACGTCGGTTAGTTGATATTTTGTGGGCTAACTAATGCTCACCCTCTATCTTTGAAAAGTCTAAAATTTATATATACAGATTTTGTTCAAGTTTGCCATTCAGCTCCGCCGACTGAAATTATATTCCACTTGATAATCATGCTGAATTGTTTTCAGCTTGAAAAAGCAGATAGAAATACTCAAATTCCACGTACACCCAGTGCACACTCAGAGATTACCGAATCTCTGTATTTACAATCAGTTTTTCGGAGCAATGCATTTGTTCCCGTGACGTCACTCCTACAGACAATAAGCCTGCAATTATTGGATTCGGCTTTCACATGATCCAAAGGACTACGCAGATCGAGGAAGGTGTTATCTGAGATCTGCATAATTTTTCAGATTAAGCGAAAGCCGAATCCAATAATTGTTTTATGATTCAATCAAAATCATTTATACTTTAAAAACAAGCAAAAACCTGCTTACCTCAGTACTATTGGGGTCCCCAATAGGGTTTCTCAATCTCGTGATCCCGACCACGATTTCGAGCAATCCCGTAATCCCGAGGGTTATTTTTGACATCCCACCTCTCGCGCATACTTTCAATCCCGAATCCCTCCCTGATTTTGCTGTAAAATCCCGAATCCCGAGCTTCAAATAAGGGAAATCCCGTATCACAGAAAACCTATTGGGAACCCTCTACTATGTTGAGTTCCCGCCTTCATCATATGTCTCTTCTTCGGCAAATTTTTCGTCACGTGTAACGTTTCCTTGTTTTACTCTTGCTCTTTTCCTTCTTGTCCCACACATATATCAAAGATTTTGTTAACTCTTGCACTCATGAAGTCATTAGTATGAAAAAGTTCGGTTGTGAATTTTTAGTCTTTAAATAAAATCCTATGGAGTCACCGTTCAAACGAAACCTCAGTCCTCAGCAGTATTCTCACACGGCACTATTTATTTTATAGCTTTCTGTGTCCGTGTCTGAATCCTGTGTCAGCAGTCACCATTCACAGGTATTTATTCGTATGATATTTGTTTTCTGTATTCTTCAATATGACATTATAACATTTTCTTTTATTGGCTTTCACTTCAATCACCACTAGGATTAAACCGGCTGTTTAAACTAGGCTGATTTCTTTGTTTCTTGCAGATTACCGTATGCCAAAAATCACGACAATGAAGTTTCTTCTGCTGCTGATGGTGGTTGAACTGACACTCCTTCATCGCAGCGAAGGGGACGCTTGGTGGCATCATCGTAAACCCCATAAACCCCATTGCGACTCAAGTAGGCCACCAGGATTTAATTGGGCCAACCAATGGCAACAAACTTTCGTGTACAGTTGTCCGAAGGGTAAGTTGATTTGAAAACCCACTTTTAGGCCAAGTTAAATGAAAACAATTAACAAAAGTAAAAAACGACCAAAAACAAAACCAAAAAAAAAAAAAAAAAAAAAAAAAAAAAAAAAAAATGTTTCTCGTCCGGAGTTTCTATAGAGAAAAAGAGCGGACAGGTGCTTTTTTTTTTGGTTGTTTCCTACGTTGTCATTATTGCCAATTTAATTCTTAATAATAACTAACTGATGTACGATTAAAAGAAATGATAAATAATAATGGTAGTAATAATAATAATAATCATAATAACAAACACATGATAAATTAATTATACGTCTTAGTACGGCAAATAAGTCTTACTTGCTCCCTTAAAATTGTCGATAGTACCTGCTCTTTGCTCCTTCTTTTATACAAATTATTACCGACCTCCAGGGATAAGCTGGAGTTCTTTGGTCCCTTAATAAATGAAACGTCAGATATTAATTAAACACAAATTTTTGGTGTATTTTGATACATGTGTAAAAACAACGTAATGCGTCAAACAACTTCAGTATAGGACTCAGTATTTAACAAATGCTTCGGTTTATGAAATGTAAGGCCTGCTTTGCAGGATTGTAGAATTGAATGGGCCCTTTGCAACTAGCCATTCGCGTGGTACAAAACCGCCATGCAGGAGAGCAAAAGTTGCACTGGGGCAAGACAAACATAGGAAACTACCATTTATAATTATGATGCCTTTTATTTGTCTTGTCCCAGTGCGACTTTTGCTCTCCAGCATGGAGGTGTTGTACCACGTGAATGGCTAGCTGCAAAGAGCTTATTGGCGTTGGAAGTAATGCCTGTTGATTCTTGTTCGTTTTTGCTTTTCCAATAAAAACAAGAGAAGTGGTCCCAAAACATGAGGCGGGTGGAACAAGAAACAATAATTTCTTTGTTTGTTTGATTTTTACATGGCCTCACTACTCTTTTTCCCTCAAAGCTTCTCTTTCTTTTCAACACAGCAGCCCCTTTCTTGCTTTGCCTGAACTGAAACTTGACCCAGGCTTAAGAACCGTACTTGAAAACCCTGTCTTTACTGCTCTGTCTCTCTCCTCCCCAGAGGCCTTTTTGTGTTGTAGGGAGGCTGGGGAGAAAGAGAAAGAAAGCGCCCGAGGCGCGATGGGAAGGGGAAAGAGCTTTCTATTTTTCGATTATTGCTATTTTTATTGGGATACCCAGCGGGAACTTCTACGGAGGAGAGAGCTGCCCTGTAGCTGATGGGTTTGTAAGTGCTGGATCATTCGTGCTACAAGCAGTCGGACTTGCTTCATAGTGACATAAAAGGTTATTAATTAAAACGTTTCTAGGTTCTTCTTTGAGTCGCTGGTACAGCATTCACAGGAACTGCAAGGAAGATCGCATCCATCACTTTGAATGCCGTAAAGTGAATGAACCCTACAGCGCGCATTGCAAGTGGACTTCTTATGTAAACACTTATGACAACCCTGTTAAATTCAAATGTGGGAACAATGGCTTTGTAAGTGGAGTCAGAAGTGAGTACAGCCCCTATCACAAAGATCGCAGGTAACTTATGATTATTACTGAGTTAATTTTGGCTTTTTCTTCTTCTTCTTCTTCTTCTTACGGATCTTCCGCAAGTTTCAATTTACTTTTTAGTAATTTCGCATTTAAAATTAAACATTCCAGATTTAAAATTTTCAGGTTTTTTTTTGTGTGTGCTATCCTCTGGATTTGCTTACCTTTTTCCTAACCATCTCCTCTGGGGACGTAGTCACGGGGTTTGGCAGAATTGGTGCAGAGAGACCCTTTGCACTGTCCGCAGACAGGGGACAAGTAATAGACCAGTCCTCTTTAACTTGTATGTTTTGTTTTCCCAACTAGAGGTCCCAGGGGAACTTGCCCCTTGGTCTTTTCATAAATTATGCGTACATATGCCCGTGAATAAAGCGAAATTTCAAAGAAACAGTTCTCTAGAGTATTATGACACATGACCTGTGTGTATTGGGAAAACAAAAGTTACAAGCTAAAGAGGTCTATTGTAGAAGTACTGTAGTTCTAGTATAGTACATTTATAGATTTTACATGCAAACAACAAGTGAGGGCCTATCCATTTACCTACCTAGTTTATGAAATTACTTTTTAACGAAAAAAATAACAACTTCAAGACAAACAGCAGGAGGTATTAAATGTACCTCCCTAGAGAAGATAATTCAAAGTTACAAATACCAATGATATACCTCGAAAAACTGATTGACAACTAAGTAGTTTTTGAAACCCTCGATTGCAATTAACATTTTGAATGTTTCTTCAATATTATAAGCCGTTGCTATTGATTCTATATTTTGTTCAAGTTTTTATTTTCGTAGACTCCCATTGGGGGCCAGTTAATTTGACTAAATTAAGTGACACAGCTTCCTTATTAACGTCTTTGTCATCCTCTTACCTGACCCAAAAAAATATTTTAATTCTTTCAATTCAGGTTCTGCTTCCTCTGCTGTAACAAGCCACGTTTGTTTCCACACGACTGTAAGAGCACTCCTCTTCAGAACAACTGGGACGCTGTACTGGACTACCGTGTTCCTAATGGTTACACCTTGGCTGGTGTAAACAGTCACCATGACAACAGTAAAGAGTAAGTACCTCAGAGATATGTCGATTAAAAAAAATGGATGGAAACAGCTCAGATTGTGGGGACGGCGCGAAGAGATGTGGGCAGAAAAGACAGCGAGGAGATGGAGTTGGGGGTGAGAGCTCCCTTACCTCGCGCCGCACTCCACTATCTGAACGCCTAGAACGGGTTAAAAAGAAAAAAAAAAGAGCAAACAAATAAATCAACCCAAATAAACACCTCTCTGTATCAAGACCCGGTGGAATCTATATCTTTACCGGTTCTCGGAGAAAATGTCACCGGAATGGCTTCTTTTCCACTGGTTGATCTTTGGTAGTTGGTTATCGCCCATGAAAGCTAAAAGGGGTGGCAGGCCTTAAATCTCTACCTGTGTGAAACCTTTGAAATGCTTTTGCATATTGCTGAAACGAGAACTATAAGATTTACGCGATTACCTGTTCCCTCCGATTTCTTTCTTATATTTTTACTTCTTTTAAACAAATGCGAATAACGAAATACACTGGCTTTATAGAATTCACAGTAAAAAGCGACAGGGGCAAAAAATTAGCCGAGTAGGAACAAACTATTCGCCAGGTATCGGGAGGCTAAATAATCACCAGGTAGACTGAATTAGACCACTGGGTAGGGTTTCACTGAGTCTGTTACAGAGGAGTGTACTAAAAGGTGTGTAAAAACAGGCAACATATACGTGCAACTTGTCTTGCAACATTGTTGCAGAACAAGTTGAATAGCGATTTGGCGCGTTTTACCACCCACGTCAAACCTGTCTTGCAACAAAACAGCTTGTTAACAGGTTTTAACACGGGTAGTAAGCTGTGGTAAAACGCGCAACACTCGCTTATTCTCTTGTTCTTCAGTAATGCTGCAAGACCAGTTGCACGTTATTTTTTGCCCGTTTTTACGCACCTTAAGGAATGAATAATATGAAACGGACAAAAGTTAATTAAATCAACTGCAAGTACACAATTGAACTAAAACGAAACAAAGCGAAAAGGAAAAATGTTAAATTGACGCACTGAACAAATGAAACAAAGAAAAAATAAACCAAACCAATGACCAGGATAACCGTTGTTCTGTAAACGCCGACTCACCAGTTCCCTCTTTTTTAAATATTTAACGTTCTCTGTTTTATGTTTTGGTTAGGAAAAAACAATATGAAGTTATAAAAGAACATACCCCGACCCCGAGCTAACGCAACCTCGTCCCCAGGGCGCTTTTCTTTGAGGACGAGGTTGTACCTAACCTGCCAAGCGGTTTTTCTGATGTGTTTTTCGTTTGTGGTTCGTTAAGGGCCTGTTAACAAGGAAAGAGGGTTACCCTTTTACTAGGGTTACCATAGCAGGCGCGTTAAAGTTAACTCTGGTTTACAAGCAAATTTCACAGGTAGGGTTATCCTACCACCCGGCTCAACTTTACATGTCTGCGTGATGGGAACATTAACTGCCAACATGTGAAATCGTCATTTTCGACCCCAGAGCTCTTCTAGCTTCATGCGCAGTCAGCTAAGGATCTGGTGACGAGATTGGTGAAATCATGTGAACCACCTTGAATCACCACCAGGGCCCAGTTGTTTGAAGGCCGATTAGCTCCAGCCTGAGGTTAAACTTTAATCCGGCTTTCTTTTTGTTTTATTCGAAAGCATTTTCTGGGCAATTTTTCTCTATTCTTTTAAGTTCATCCAATCATCATATTGTAGACAAAAAGAACTAAACTGAATTTGCTTTTTAACCTTTCATATCTCAATTCAAATTTCGCTCAATCCCCGGGTTATCGATCTTGAACCCATCTTTAAAAAACTCGAACCAGGCTGGTATTTTTTTTCCCTCTTGTGCAAACTAAACCCTTTGTAAACTTTTTCTAGGAATTAGCTGAATACTACTAAATACTCATACTGGCTACAATCGATTTTTTTCCTTCAGAAAAATAATAAGAACCTATTTAAGAACCTAAAAAGCTTAAATTTGTGCTAATTACCATTTATGTATGACCATGTTTAGGCTAACTTGGAAAAATGCAAAAGTTCTACGCGCTCACAGGGTGCCCCAAAGAGTACTGTGCACATTACTCTGGGAGGGTCCGCAGTGCCCATATCAGACAAATAATTAACTCTTTGTTGCAGGACAGGCTGTTTCCTAATTCTGTATATTTTATAAATAAGTCATTTTCTTTATAGAATACAGCGTTTTACCTTTAAAACTTTCATCTGAAGCTTTGCTTCCTTTTTAATCTTTAGGGATCGTCGCTGGGGATTTGAGATCTGACCATGTTTAGGCTAACTTGGAAAAATGCAAAAGTTCTACGCGCTCACAGGGTGCCCCAAAGAGTACTGTGCACATTACTCTGGGAGGGTCCGCAGTGCCCATATCAGACAAATAATTAACTCTTTGTTGCAGGACAGGCTGTTTCCTAATTCTGTATATTTTATAAATAAGTCATTTTCTTTATAGAATACAGCGTTTTACCTTTAAAACTTTCATCTGAAGCTTTGCTTCCTTTTTAATCTTTAGGGATCGTCGCTGGGGATTTGAGATCTGCAAATTTCTTAGCTGTCAGTGAGCCGAAACGATGGGATTTAACAGCCAAACATGTGTAGATAACTCTAAACCATGACGTTCTAATGAAGAGAAATCCAACAGCCTCTTATTTTTCGTTTTATATTCCTATCCTATCATTAAATCGTTAAATCAATATAGTTAAGTTAATGCCTAGTAATGATTTTTTCTTTTTTAGACAATACTCGATTGCTAACGTCATAATAAAACCTTTTGAAAACAATAAGATGTTGTTGTATTAACAAAAACTTCGACATCCGACTTACAAGCGTTCCACGATCTAGACTCACTTCTCCGAAAGAAACATTCCCAAACAAAGTCTCAGATGGTTAAGGCCCTTTTTAGCCTTGCTCTTGGACTGTATGAAATGCGAATTAAAGCTCATCTTCGGAGACCCAGGGGTCAGGAAACGGCTGCAAAAGTTTATTATAATAAGAACCCCTTGGATGCTACTCTAGTTACTTTGATTTTGGCAAAATAAGCTGGGAAATATACTTTTCAGAAAAAAAAGAGACTTTTTAAACTAAAAATAAGCGTAAGGAAAAATCGAAAAATTTTAATTTTTCCAAACGGATTAGTCCATGATTTTGGTCAAAAATTTGAAAAATTTCCATATTTCCTTACACTTAGGGAAAAGTGGCAAAATTCGAATTCTGACCCAAGGCGGTTCGTCCATGACTTTGGTCTAAAATTGGAAATATTTTCATAGTTTGTTTTTAGGCAAAGTAAACAAGGAAAAATACTTTCCCTATATTCCAGATAACAAAAAAGGGTTCTTTAGACAATCAAAATACACTTCACGAAGATGTACAAACCTGCAAAATATTTTTGGAAAATATTTATGTAGCTTTTTCTGGCAAAACACCCCTGGAAAAACAACATCAAAAATGGCCAGGAAAAATTCTCTTACAGTTTTTATCCGTTTGATCTTAAACTTTGCAGGGTGGTACAACTTTTTATTGCGAATGTTTTGCCCGTTTCACTTAGCAAATTTGAATTATTATTAAAGAACACTTTGAGATAGAACGAAATGTGAAAACAATTTTTTTGAAAAGGTTAATTGGTTAAAAGGTTATTCAGATTTAAAGTTTTAAAATTCCGCGATTTTTGTTATTATTTTTAGGAAGATGTGACATTTCAAAACTTCATATCTTTTAAACAAAATAAGCTTTTTAAATTTTTTTTCACTTTCGATTCTATTGCCAAATGGTCCTTCAAAACCACTAAACCCGTTTTGCCAATTAAAAAAAATAAATTTTTGCCACCAATCCTGTGACGTCATCCCCCCCCCCCAAACCGTCAAAATCAAAAAAGTGAAATGGGCAATCCCCACCCCCCCTCCCTTTTCCCTCCGTCCCTGTCCCCTACCACTTTCGACGCCTGCTGTGCAGGCTAGGCCACTTTTTATGTTTTTGCTTCCGATATTCTAGATAGAACAGGAAGCTTTTTAGACTATAAAAATACATTTGAGAAAAAGTTAGAAAATTGGAGTTTCCATAATTTTGGTCAAAAAACTGAAATATCTCCATAGTTTGTTTTGAGGCAAAAGAGACCAACTAATTTACTTTCCTGAAATTCCAGATAGAAGAAAATAATGGGCTCTTTAGACATTAAAAATACACTTCACGAAAATATGCCAACAAGACGCCTAAAGTCGTTTCCGTGGGATGCGTTGGTCTATGGAAGCATAATGGCGTTTTATCTGAATTTGGAAAAATTAGGAAACCGGAAAGATGTGTCATGTTATGAGCATCGACGAGTAGGTTACCTGTATGGGTTGGTTTAATGTGCTTATGACTGAATTTATAGTAGCCTGTGCTACTATTTCTCCCCAATCCACATCCCCTTTTTGCTTCCTCCCTATCCCCTACCGCTTTCGACAGTGGTCGCAAGGATGGAGTTGATGTTGTTTTGATCTATCGCTATGTAGTTATTTTCGTAGCACGATTTGGATAAGAAAAATAAGTTATTTTGCATCAAAACAAGGTTTACCCGTGTAACTTAAATTGGGATGTTAACGGACACAAGTAATGGAGAACATGCGCATAATGCTCTCTGATTAACCTGAACAGGAACTATATGTATAAAGATACGTCATATCTTGGTAGTAAGTTGCCACAGGTAACTTTTTCAAAGAGAAATAAACATTGTAGTTTTAGGTTAATGGAACAAAACAAAACAAAACATCCGCTTGCTTTATCCAGGGTCGAACCCAGGGTTACAAAGTTCGATAAAGTTCCAATGTTTTAATCCAAGATGAAAGTTTAATATTCCAAGATGCTCTTGATACGGTTAAAAATTAATTGCAATGTGTTTCCAAGGTCTCAAAGTTAACATAGTTCCAATGATTATCCCTGATTCCAAGGTATAATAAGTTTACTAAGGTCCTGATCCGTGTCCCATCCAGAATTCCAATCCATGCCGAAAGCGAGTCGTCGATCGACGAGGACGATATTTTCGCGATTTCACCGCCAATTATCAAGGGTACGAGTTGAAATTTACGCGATTTAACCTCCCATCGTCAAGGTGTTTTCGATAAGAAAAGAAAAAAAACTGAACTCTAGTAGACTGTTCACAGTCCTCTATTTTTCCGTAAGATCTTCGAGATCGAGCACTTTGCCGGCTACCATCTTGCATGAGTGTCAAAACTACTTAGGGGGCGGGGGCGGTTTGGAAGGAAGCGAGAAAAATAGAGGGA